TATGTCTATATGAATCAAAATTTGACTACTTTATACCTATTGGGTAGCTTCGACGCACTGGAAACTATTAATGAATAGTTTTTTTATCATCCACATTTTGTGTATTCACTACTCAAAATCCGCGTAAATGAGGTGAGACTGTTGCGATCGATTTTCAGCTTTGTTCACGATTCCTTCCTGTTCTTTCAGGCGTCACACTTAATAGATCCACTATTACTTTCAAGTGCAATACCATACCGATTCGATTCCGAACCATGCGTTTGAGAAATTGCAAATATTTTATGGGTCCTGACCACTGCTAAGAATTACAGCAGCTCTGTAAGTGAAATGCAAGCGATCGACATCATTTCAGCGACTGATGTCAACAATAATGTGTATTCAAACAAATCCTCTCCATCCGAGAAAACGATTACAATATCCATTGAGGCCAACCACTAACTCTCAGCTCACATCAGTCTAATTGAGATTGATTTGTTCTGTGCGATTCAGAACCGGTCGCTAGCGTTCTCAAACAATTGCTCACTTCTCACACATAACCACGTCGGAAAATCGCCTTTCTGACGAGTCAAATTAAATCACTTTGAATTGCTTCACGTCGCTGTCACCGTTCACCATCCAATATCCAATTACGCACCTCAGACAGCTCACATTAACGGACGGAATTCCAGACCAGAATTTCAAAGAAACCTCTGGCAATTCACGGGGCCGGGGGGAGGAGGGAAGGCGAGCACGCTTCAGAAGACAGCTTTCGGGAGGAGGAGGAACAAATTCATACAATTGAAAGGGTCGCGACCGCTACATGCGAGGGTAGGGCTCTAACAGGCATTCTAGCATTTCTAATATGTGATATAGTCATATGTAATAGCAGTTACATTTAGCGCACAAGGCCCTCTCAGTCTTTGATAAGTTCCTCTTTATTTGATTGCCAGTTTTGGCTAAAGGAAATACCATGGGAGTCCATAAAACCTATTAATTAATTAGCTAAAACAAAGCCCTTGAAATTCGGGGTACCATATGGTGAGATGAGGCGTACCCCGGCAGGAAGGGCCTCCGCTGACAACAGCGGCTGTCAGCGCACGAAGTCGCAGCGCGACTGTGGTGATTCGCGTCAAGTTAAACTAATATACTGTATATCATCGCACATCATGCACCTTATGACTCGTCCGCTTGCAGTGCCTTCTTGCCACGCGACGTGCTTCCTGTCGGGTACCCTGAGATTAATGATTAATCCCCAAAATAGAGATCGGCTCTCAACAGTTTTCTGCCAAAGATCCGCGCCATGTGTCTCAGCACATCGAAGCAACCTGTGGACCATGCTTCATACAAAATCTTGGATAGGCCGTATTCATTAAACTGAACATCCTGTGCCCCACTACCCACTCATCAGATCGCATTCTTCCCCAACAACTCTTCCCTCAAAGCTATCAAGCGACGTCATTTAAAATATTCTCGGTGACGCAGCGTCCATTTAGCCTGACTCATAATGGGATCACACAATTGACTAACAGCAAAATGTCCAATTGATCATCGAAAATGCGGAAAGCTCTCTGCAACAAAAAGTAAAACTACAAGCTCCTATCCACTACTTTCCAACCTGAAAAGCATCATATTGCTCGCAATAAAATCTGTTTATGTGCTCGATGGCGATGACCAGGGACAAAAACCTTATCACATATCTCTCTGAAAAGTGCCTATTTATAGGATCACACTAGCAACAGCGCCCTGTTATATTTCCACAGTCAAAGGAGTTTTCACATAAATTTCGTGAACACCACGAGCTGTGGTAGGTAAGGTATAGATCGGCTCGGGAAAATGTTTATTGTCATTTTTCTACGTATCCCTTGATTATTGCGCTACTAATGACATGAGGGGTCACCCGATTTTCAGCTTTTACAGGGGCGACCAGAAAAAGACACATTGCCCATACTGCACATCATCAAACTTTCTACCGCACAGAGTGCCGGTGTTGAAATAGATGTCCTTTTATAAGTAGAAACGGGCCCTTCTCTACTGTCCTCACCGTCCTCAAAATATGACGTCATCTTCCATCACCGCTGAGGCTTAAAAAGCGACGAAGTTATCGTACCAGCCGGTAGTGATAGGAAGATTTCTCTAATCGTAACTGACGCTATTGCTTTTTAGGGATGGTAGCTCTAATTATGCAAGACCCCTACCGACCGGCGTTTCAGATAACGTAGTAAAGGTCCATGATCGCCAAGGACCAGTAGAGCTCGATCCGTGCACAAGGATCCATGGCAAATTCTTGCGATGTCCTTGGTGCAGAAAGTTATTATAACGTTTGGGCATGATAAGCACAAGCATGTGCTCTTCAATCCTCAGTCGATTAAATTTAGGAAAGTGTAATTAATGCTGTCTGAAATGTGGAGTGAAGTGTCTCTTATTGGCCACCCTTGTACGCCCAAGCAAATACGACAGACCACCAACAGAAATGGACGGATGACATTCTCATCTGGGAAGGACAGTTCCTCCAACCACAGCGATACCTCCAATTGGATCAACCTCGAAAATCTATTTCAGTTGTCTCCAGAACATATGTAAGCACAACATAAAACATTGCTCCAACAGAAGCGACTATGATGTGAATCTTGCTACTGCCTGTGCCCGTCGCAACAACCTAGTTTAATGATGACTGCTGAACAAATGCTCACACTGCACATTTTGTCAAGCCTATGAGGAAGCTCCGCGAGGGAGAAAGACACATTAATTCAATGGGATGTGAGTCATCCCACGACCATGTCAGTTTATTATTCACTCAGGAAAATTAGAATCAACTGAGGGATTTTTACAAAGCGAACTTTCCCAGCACAACGAAGTTTGATTTTACAACCTATGCAGGAGCACCGCTACATAATTCATATCTCTGGACACTGCTATATAAAGATCAGTGGGAAAGATCTCGAAGAAAAAGCACTGTGAAAAACATTACCATGAGGTCGAGTTTCGGCAAAAGCATTTCATCAATCTTTTCGCTTTGATCGTTCGATTTTGGGAGAAATATCGAATAAAAACAAATTTTTCCGAACAAACGGAAACAAATTGAGACGATTTTCCGAGCAAATCATTTGGAAGCATCACAACATATCGGCAATCTCGACGTTACCTGTCTTCGGAGAAGATGGAAATACTGTGCTGATGTTGTTGGATTTGCTATCCGCAGATTAACACTCTCACCATCAACAGGCACTTGATCTTCACGAGAATCACACAGTTGTAAGAATCTGAAAATTCTCAGCTTATTAGGAAATGATAAAAACCCGTAGTGTACGTTGAATAACTTAATAAATGAATACAAATATCTGCACGTGATTTTAGGATTTGCAGTTACCCACCTCTCCATCCGGCATGTACTATGCTCTGGTCCGGCTCCATCGATGCCATGAGGTAGCAGCAAAGTAAGGCCAGATTGCGTCAGCCATTTACCTAGGATTTAGAGGTAAAATTCTCAGTTCTTGTACTTCGCTCAATCGCATTTCACAAGTGTCTAGCAGGGAGATTGCGCAAATTCATTCCAGAGGCGCGTCGCGGTAGGTCTCACGTGGAGTATTGCTTAACAAACTCGTTAAAAGTACTTTACTGAAAAAATACACGAGCTTAAAATGGCATATTGCCTTCAAAACCTACTGAAAAGATCAATCAAGGAAATACATATCGCGCTGTTCTGCGCACTCGATGATTTTCCGCATTTCTTCACAAGCTTCGTAAAAGAAAGAAATAAAGATTTAGAACCCCCTGAGCGCCTTTGTGTAACTTCTAAAGCTATCCTTTCTTGAAGGTCTGGGCTGCAACGGTGACAAATCTAGGGAACCTGAGTAAGCCAGAGATCTTCACGTCACGA